TAAATTCATTGTTACCATGAGAAATGAATATTTATGGAATTAAAAAGGATAAACAAACGAATTCTCCATTTTATTGTACTTACATTATGTTCATTTTTTTCTTCTTTATCTCTTGTACATTGGATGTATGAATGACCCGTCCGGACCATATACATTCTTCATGAACACAATGCATTGAGCATACTTTTTTCCATTATTATTATTATTTTTATAATTGCCATTATAAAGTAAAAATATAACATAATAGTATGTAAAATTAACAAAGACTGTGCACCCCATGTGGAACGTGTTCCATAAAATTTGTTGACGTATCTATATTTAGAAATTTGACTATTTAACTCGTTTTTCAGAAAATTTAATTTACTGCAGAACACAATAATGCTTCACGTTCAATGACAAATTCTTAATTGATGTCCAAATATTAACCTTTTACCCTACAATTTATTTGTCAACTATGACCCACACAACTACTTTGTCATGAATAATTTATTAAGAAAAAGAACAGAATTACAGGGATATTCTACATCAATCTGTGTTCTAAAGTATTATAACTGATCACAGAAGAATAATATTTAATTTGAATTAAAAAGAGTCCAGTATTGTTCACGCTTGTTCAAGTCTGTTTAGAATCTACATTACGTGTCTGATACGTTATCTTACGACAAGGGGTTAATATGATTGTTTTGTACTACTAAAGAAGTGTTTCCTATGGCAACGGATACATTAAGCTATTTATTTTTCAAAATATTGTGATGCTCCATATTAGGCGCCGTTACCTTATAGATAGTTGAAATTAAATATTTTGTGGGTTTTAATATAGTTTTCAACCCGATAATATCATTTTGAACTAAAAACTTTGTAAGTATATCGATAAAATATTTTTATAATGATTTGTAAATATAAAAATAATATTTTGTATTTTCGTGGAGTTGCATAAACAGATGGATCGAGTAATTTAAAGTTAAAATCGATAAACCGATCGAGTTTCGTATAATTAAGTCGTAAAGGGAACATAATTAAAAGCCGGGTTCGAGAGATTCCAACGCATGGTAATGATACTGTCGCTAGCTGGGTGAGTTCAATGCGTAGCTGCAACTCGACAGATATTGACGCGCGATGAAAATGATAACATTCATCAAACCTTTGGACAGATATAATGAATCTAATGAGATAATACGAAACTAAATACCTAATGTAAAACATTTTTAAATACTAATAAGTTACTTTTAAGTAACTTATGTAAGTATCATGATGTAGTAACTATAGTAAATAATTAAATACATAGTCGAATAAGTGTTTATTTAAAGAATTATTTATTCTTTTATGTGAACTTTCACTATTGATTCCTTTTTTTAAGTACAAAGTATTAGAAGATTATTTCGAAGGATATATAATCTATTTATAAAGAGAGAGTATGATCTTTTTTCGTCGAATTACTTTCTACGCCTACATGATTCCTGTTACACCTACTTTTAAAGATATTAAAAAAATCTTAAATGTGAACGGAAATAACCGGCAATTGTGCACTATTGTACGCATAAATAATTTAAACGTGTGAAAATAATTTAATTAAATAAACAAATAATTACTTGCGAATAACAACAAACTATTATATAGACAAACAAGAATCCAGTCAATTAATTATACAAAACGAACACTTCTTAAGTTTGATAAACAAAAAATTCTTAACAAAAATTACATCATTATATAATAACATTATACATTTAACATTAATACAAAACAAAATCTTTTTATTAATGTGATTTATAAAAATTAGAATTCAGGAGCAGCTCATTTCTTCTATCAGTAATTTTAATATGTAAAATTGTAGTTACACTGTAATATTCGATTTAATTACATTTCACATTTTGTATGTCTTAGATTTATATTTGTTTTGATGACATAAAGTTTCACATTCTATTTATAGTATTCATTTAATATTCATAGAATACTTTTAGGTTAATCTAGCATTAAACAATAAAATATATAAAAAAAATAATAAAGCGCAAATAATAAAACGATTCGAACAATACCTACATAGCTAACTCCTATTCATAGCCTTTCCCAAGAGATCATTCCGCCCAACCGAAATGTTACGCGCCTTCGAATAATAAAGCCGTCCACAGAAATTACGTGTACGTCCACACATCAGTGATTCAATCTCTAGAAGTATCACCGTCTCCGCCCTCGCTGGATAACAAAAGCGTTCACTTACAGAATGTACACATTGGCGGACATCTACTTACGAACATAGACATTTTCATTCTTTTATTACACTTGATAGTTTCACAATTGTTGAATAATTTCAACTTTACTCAGTTCAATAATTTCTTTCAATTAAAATAGTAGAATTAGTATTAGTAGAATCATTTCTACATCTAACTTACTTTCTACTATAAATATAGTCATATCTGACAATGAGCCATGAATGTCTATAACAGTTTTAAATTGATCAACTTTAAAAATTCGATGAATCATTCAGTTAGTATGAACATTCGTTTTAAGTGGTTTCTGTTTCCCACGAATGTTATCTGATATTTTATTATAGCTTGTATGCTTCGTCAATGTGCAATAAGTTCGAAGTGATATATGTAACTAATGAAAAATGCTTTTATATGTGTTACTATGATTTTGAGACAGTAGAATGTTATGTAGGTATGGTGTAATATTCACTTATATTGTATATAGAGTCATGTTTCAACGTGTGTCATCCAAAAAAACGCATTCAATACGCTGACTGGAAGATGTGAACTTTCCAGGTTCCGTTTCATTAAGTAAATTACTTCAACTTTACGAGATTTTGATGAATGCTGTTTGAACAGCCTTCATGGTAATAACATTCATTCTCTGTATTTTCGTCGAACGCGATATTCGAGTTTCCACTGAATTAAAAATTAACAAAGATAAATATTTCTTTTTCCTCCGTTTATTTCGATTCTTTTTTCCCATTACATTAAAAATTTCCACGAGATAAACTTAAATAAGACACAATCACCGTCTAAGATACTTATACAGAAAAATATAAAAATCGCCTGTGTAATTTGTAAATACAGGAAAATACGAAAATCGCCTGTCACGTTATACAGAAAAATAGGAAAACGTACAACCTTTTATAAAAAGTTATAAAAATCGGTTAACATCCTATACAAAAAATACACAAGGAACCTCAACGTTATTTATTATTCCATACCAAAAAAGTACAAAAATCGTCCACCGACAAGTGAAGTTGCCACCGATCTCGAAAATCCACCCATATCATCGTTCACAAGCATACATCATCTACCATGCTCACAGATCCCTGACCGTGGCCCGTCCCTACGAAATATAGACCCCTATCGGGTCGTCGTTCGTCGGGCGCGCGCGAGTCGCCAACAAAAGTCGAAGAGCGTCGGCGCGGCGCGCAACGAAACCCGGCGCGGCGCTGACTATTTTCTCCGGCACGCGTGCAACTCGCTCGGAGGGCAGGGACCCGTCCTATCCGCTCGTCGAAGTCTCCCGGGCTCGGCCGGCGGCGCGGGCAGCAGTAGGTCGACTCGGGCTCCGAAAAGCTTCCACGGCCTACGTCCTTGAGAGATCCTGCAGGCCGTGCACGGTGCAGCAGTGTGTCCAGCAACAGTAGATTACAGACCGTACGTCGTTTGCGTTGGTGTTAACTCATTCCCTCGCGCTCTTTCTGTTACGAACGTACACCAATCCGATCTCCTAACGCACACCTCCTAACCAGTACTCGTACCGTGCACGAACCTACAGTCCTCGGGGTACTTCGAGAGATACGAGTACCTACCACGCACACATCGATTCGTACATACGTGGCACACGTGCATCGACGGGGAACTCGCACGTACACACTTAGAGCCACGGGACCGATGGTATCGTGTCGGTGGAGGTAGAACCAGGGGGGGCAACGTGGGGTACCAGGACACGAGAAGGAGGAGAAGGAAGAGAGGTGGTGGAGGAGGATACCGAGACGTGGAGTGGTGGGCACCGGCAAGGCAAGCAGGAAAGAGGGGTTCCAGGAGAAGTCATCGGGCTGGCTGGTGGTGGCAACCTGGACGGTAGTAGGGGGGTCAGAGAGGGCGCGGGGAGGGGTCGAAGTACCGCTATACCTGGAGTCGCCTGAGGCGAAATACATACCTACCTACCTACCTAGTATATATTCCCTCGGCTCGTTGTACTCGGCACGGTTTCTCTCTGTTCAGCAGCGAGCGTTCGCCTCGTTTTTCCTTGGCCAGGCCGGCGACGACTCTCTACCCCCTTTCGTCGGCCGGCTCTCGGAGCCGGGCCGGAGGTATACCGCTGCAAGTCCACCATGATGCACGCCATAGAGCGCACCGCGGCCACCGTAAGACATCGCGGCGGCGGCAGCAGTGCCTTGCCTTGCCTTGCCTTGACTCGCCGACGTACGTCGCGTTGGTGCGCAACCGTCGCCGTTCCGAGCTGTCGTACACGTTCGCTCGAGGATTTTCTTGGTTCCTCTGAATTTCGATTCCCCCGTGACTCTCGCGTATCTTTCCTTCATGTCCTCGTTCCAAGGAACGTCGTCGACGACGCGTCACGTCGCTGGACTATTCGGCTGCCCGTTGACGCGATGATTTTGGCGGGTATCATGAGTTTCCTCTAGTTTCGTTTTGTCTTTCGTTGTTAAAGGTCTCCTCGGCAGACGAGAGTTCGGTTTTCTCTGGTCGGACGAGAAATCGAGCGGGCGAAGGTAGATAGAATCCACAACAGAGCCAACGTCCGCGCCAAAAGGCGTGTTCCTCTTCCGTGGACGATATCCGGCTTTTAATCGGCAGAAAAACCGAATTCCTGTCGGCGAGGCGCGTCCGCCGATCCGCCGCTGCGCTCGGAGGAGAATTCGAGGAGATCAGCAGCCGAACGCGCGCCACAAGGCAGCCTCGAAGAGGAACACGAAGAAGGTTCTCCTCTTTCCCCACCTTTGCCTCCGCCACTACCTACCGCTACCTCCACATCTCCTCCTTCCTCCACCTCCACCACGCGTACAGTCGCACGGTCGCCGGCGAGCAATACGGTTTATGGCCGCGTGACACTGTCCCGGACAACATCGGCATCCGCAAACAGCTGGATCCACGTTGGATCTCGGCACCGGATCGCAGCCCAGGGTCTCTACGTTCACGGGCCCGACGTCAACCGGAACGACACCGACTCCAGCCCAAGCTCAGTGCCCAGTTGCCTCGCGGATTGTCCTCGCGAAAACACCGAAAACCGCGACCGACGTGTCTCTGGCGGTGGTACTGGTTTCTGGTAGCCGCGCTAACCAATGGACAGTGTCTGCCAATGGATCCTAGTTGTCGGTTAACTCGCTGAAGCCATCCGAACCTCGTGGAAACAGTGCACGCGCGATCGCCTTTTGGAACGTCATCAGTGATTGTAGTTCCGAGGAACACAGTGTTGCTCCCAACGCGTGAGACATTTCACCCGGCTCACCTGGAATAAAGGATTCGAAGCTGAACGAAGCTAAAGAAGACCTGCCAGCAGCGGTACGACAGTCGGTGAACGCGGAGGCCAGCGGAACGCAGGCACGCACGCACGCGTCCGGTGTCGATCGCGAGTGAGAGTGTTTTTCCCGTGCGGAAGCCGCCGCGGCGACGACCCGGGCCCTCGCGGGACACCAACATCTGGTAGCGTGTTTCCGGGCGGCGCGACCGACCGCGTGGACGTCCCGTTCTCCTCGCGCCGCGACCGAACCTCTCGCTTCTTCTTCTTCTCTTCTCTGCGCGTGTGGATTCGCCTTCCGTGTGACTCGAACGTTCGGTGACCGGTCAATTTCCTCTTTATCAGGCTTTTCCGCGAGTCCCCGCGTTCTCGGCCGGGTTAGTTACCTAGCAGCTAGATCACGCACCAGCGTTACCGTCCACACACTGACAAACACACGCTTCCACACACACATACATATATACGAACACAAACGTACACACGTGACGCAAGCGTGCACGGTACCGCGCGCAGACGCGATACCATCAGGAACGGACGGACCGGGTGTTTTTCGTTTGTTTTCTGTGACACTGTGCTACCGACCGTCGTGACCGACCACGGCGTGGACGTGGACGTAGAAAACGCTGTCGCGCGGCATCCTCTTTTCTTTCTCTCTGTCCGTCCTTCTGTCTTTCTCTGGTTAAGAGGTGTTCAGTATGCGGTGGATACAAGCATCGAGCAGCGTTTTGTGACCGATCCTCGGGATATCGCGGTAGCCGGTTTACCAGCCGAGGGACGAGTCAGCTGTCGACCAAGGATTACGCTCCTGCCGAGCTCCGCGGCAGACGTCCATCTTCTATTCGCTGAGGTTAGTCACTCTACGATCCACACTCCGCTTCGTTCCGGTATAGTACACACGTGTACGTACGCGTAGAGACGTGTTCTGTTTAACTGTCTCCGTAGCGATGTCCCTATGTGCGTGAACCCGCGTCTGCGTAGACGTTCGGCTCGCGTGTATATACCCCATGGACGACGATCGTGCGAGCGTGTCCCCTCGTCGAGCATATCCGCCCGATCGTGCGCGTTTTTTGATATGCCGGTGACTCTCTCGCCTTGCGAACACCGACCCGCCGTGTCTCCGCCGTGTGGGCAGACGAGCCACACACGCCGCACACGGTGCAACGCACGCACGCACGTTCGCCCGTTCCGTTCCGTTCCGTTCGCAGGCCTGTCGTGTATGCTACCGACTCTGCACGCGCGTGCACGCGCACCAGAACGAACGAACACGACGTTGCGAAATTCTGCGATACCCGAGACCAGCTTTTGCGGAACCGCGGAACTGGAAATTTTTGGGTGAAGTTTCGGGTTTTTTGTGGCTCTTTTTATTTGGGTGTTTGAGGAGGAAGAATAAATATGGATTGAGATGAGGAAGCGATGTGTAAAATAAGGTTTTCGGAGTTGTTCCTGAAGATTCGCGAAACGAGATGTTTTTGAGTTTAATTTTTATGGTTTATTCTTCTTGGCCGGTTTGAGGAAGTAACAACTGAAATGAATCAATACGAGAACGATGTGTACACATGTACGATTTTCGGAGTGGAAATGGTGAAGCAGTTGTTGAATGTTTTGTGGGATTGACTGATTTTTTAAGACATGTTCTTAGTGGATATTTTATTGTTTGTTTGGCACTTGTTAGGAAGATTTTTGGTGATCTTGATTATTAAACGTTTGAAGGGATTTTTGTGTTTGTTTCCTGTTTGTTATTTAAGTTTTATAGAGTTGATCTTGTTGAATATTAAAATTAAAATACCACGTCAAAAGCATCGTATCATTATTTAAGTACAGAGGTAATTTGTCGGAAGTGTTCAATTTTTATAAAACAAAATGGGTATTGGTAAATGCGCTTCTGATTATTAAGAATCCTACAGGATTTATTTTGTAATTGGAGTTAAAATCGTGTTGTGAATATGAAACTACTGATTCTTGAAAATTGTACACTTTTCAGTACGAAGGTGATTATTTATATAGTAAATATAAATTTACGTAAAAGGTTCTGATAATATAGCAATCTATATAATAATAAACAACTCATGGTATTACATTTTGATGCAATCAATAGATGCTGCGTCTAATTTTTATTGTATAGTTAATTTTGTGAACAAGATTTTTGTATATTTTTAGAAAAAATTGATTGACAAAGTATTTTTCCGTAGGTTTTATTATTGCATATTTTTGTAGTCACAGTTTGCGTTATATTGTAGATTTGAAACCAAATCACGATCTTCTACGAATTATTATTCTGTCTAATGAAGTTTTTCCTCGAATGACTTCATCGTTCATATCGGAATATTCAAATGCATTAGCAAATAAACTGTATAGCAAACTAGTTTAACAAGATTGTATATATTTTTATCATAATACACATCGAATACCGTTATCAATAAGGAACTACATTTGAACCTATTTTTCTATTACGCAGCATTTTATTCCTGTTACCTCTTAATTACAAACTTGATTTTTCTTTACTTTGAAGTTATATAATTTACGAATGACAACGCCTAATGACAATGCTTGACAAAAAACTGGACTTTGATTTTTGAAATAGTTTGTAATATTACTCATTTCATTACTTTATTTCTACTCTATTTCCACCTTGCGAAATCCATGACCATATTTAATTACATTATATGAATTTAACTAAGTGCCTTAGTAGAAATACACAGATAAGTAGAAACAGTAAGTAACGAGCAGACATGTTTGCCGTTGATTAACGACACGAACATTCAATAAACTGTCAAAATCAATGTTAACAAAAGTAGAACCTCATGAAACAAAATTCCTATGCTATATTTTCTATCCTTCTTACATAAGAAAAGGAATCACTTTTCGGCTTATCATTATTAATCATTTATGTTGCTAGTACACAGAAACGCATGAAATTCAAAACATTAGTTAATACGTTCCATGATTACTTTCTTTTAGTTCTAAATTTATTCACTACAAGAATATTTTTAAAAACATAAAGTATGCCATATAATGAAAGAATAACTTCATATTCGAAATATTCAAGAATGAAAACACAGTAAAAATACTAGAACAGTATTCATACAAATATCCTTTGTCCAGGAAATGAAGTTTAAAGGTACCCCGTTTCCAGGACATGCGGAACATATTAAAACAGCTGAAACTGCAATAAAACTGTAATCTTAGGAATGAAAATTAAATGAGTTAAGAAAATAAAACAAATTTTCCTCAAGCAATCGATTACTCCCTTTTCACGGCGACGACCCGCAGGATTCCACTATTATACGCTTCGACCGTGTCGCTAAAACTGCGACGTTGCCCGCATGGCTGCTGTCGAAACATTTTTCCGGGCGTAGCGATAAAAATTTGCCGTCGTTTCGTCATAGTGTCCCGGCGAGAGACTCCGCGCTCGCGTCGTGCGCATTTGCCGCACGATCGTTTCGAAATAATCCAATCACGATCGACCGTGCGATCGTACGAAACGGATGATTGATAAGTCCTTTCAGCGCGCGTACAGAACGGGCTGCGTCATCTTGAAGATTTCATTCTCAACGCGGCGTTTCTCCTCGCGGCGTGCTGGTACGCGCCGTTGAAATTACGGCCGCTCGAAAATCTCGAGGATCTCGAACGAAACTCGGGTCTCGCTCGAGATCTTTTTACGCTACCGGCGGGATCAAGTGCAAGTTACGTTGTAAACTGAAGACATGTGGTCGAAGTGTCTGTCAAATGGACATATGTGCATGTGTATCTTTTTCTTGTATGAGAACTAAACCCTCACGTGGACAACCGGGTACCCAAGTGTCCATTTTTAACAGTAACTGTACTATGAACCGGTCAAGCGACCGGTTTTAAAATTTGATTAAGAATTCTGCGTTTCCTTTCGATCATTTCGCTGCGTGTTGATTTCTATAGTCTCTGGTTTATTGATTTCTCGATATTTGTCTTTTCTTACGTATCTGCTTGCAGTGAGGGAAGTTTAGATTTTCATTTGTTTATCTTTGCTTTGTAATTTGTTGTTTGATTGGCTATGATAGGGATCGGGGTGTACGAAGTACAGACGTGGTTAGTGTTAAATCTACTACAATTTGTTGTTCTTGCGAAAGTTTGATTAAATTACTTTGGATTTTTATTTATTGAGATGTGCTGTGTTGATTTGCGTTTTCAAGGTAAAATATTTTTGCGAAGATATTGTAATGTTGACGTTTAGAAAAATATTTCAGTTGTCTATGTAGAGGCTGAAGTCACACCAATAGACAGGCAATTAGCGGCTAATACTACTGCGGACATTAAATTTTGGAAAATAAATTTATATTTAGTAGGTATTCAAATGTTTTCCTTAAATTATCCTCAGAGATCAGGGCAGAAGTAGAATGAACTCTATGAACCATGTTGTAGGAATCATTTAAGTACTGCATAAATTAATCAGAATTTACAATAAAAACACAAATACAGAATTTTCAAATTTTTCATTGAACAAATGTACTTTTTCAATAAAATACAATAAACATTTAATGAAAGTTCAATACCATTATTCTGCTGTATTTTGAACAATCTTATTTAATATAAAACCACAACCTTCACAATTTAATGACGAATCATCATATTTAATACGTGATATCTTATTTTAACGCTTAAAAAGGGCTTCCTGGAAAAGGGTCGAATCAATTATCAGAGAATCTTATACGGCTTAATCTTGAAACGTCTATCTATTAAATCGTATTTAATTTATGCCAACACCTGTATTTACGTTTCACGTTACAAAAATGAAAATAAAACAACACAATACAACTTATAACTGGACAATGGAGGCTAATTCATATTCCTAACAGGGAAATGAAACGAGTGATAGATACTCCATTCATATTCACGGTTAAATATTGAACTTCGGGGCCAATCATTACTGTATAAGGCTCGTTACCTGTTCCGAACGTAGCATGAACCGTTTATGCGTCGTATTTCATGTTACGAACGCGTTAACGCGCGATAATTGCGCGACCTGCCAAAACATGGCAGGTGTTGGAGTCTGATTGCTCGCGAGCGAATTTATATCCACGTCTCTCGTGAAAGTTGTAACTTTTTGTTAGCGTCGTGTCGAGGAATTATTCTCCTTTTTTTTGCGAACCTGATAATGGGTTATACAGGGTGTTCCGTAACCGGTTATACAACTTATACAATATAGATAAGAATCAAAATAATTCTAGTAACGCAATTTAATTGTCGTAAAAACAAATTTTTAAAACTGAATATGGAACTGTGTCACCTGTGTGCGACTGACGCAGCACTTACTGCGCATTCTTTTAAATCGATAAAAATCATTGAAACAAGAAGCACAAAAAAAACATTTTGCAACAAGTTGGTTTAGAAATCTCCTAGAAATGTATCGTTAGAGAATGGATTCTTATGCAAATTCCAGTTTTCATGGATTATGTTTTAGAAACTAGAATACCAGAATTTTTTATTTCGCCAGTTAACGGATTTCTTAGAATAACAATGAAACAGTTATTAAACGATTATTGAAATAAAGTTTTATTTGAATAATGTCCAATATCGCTCCACACTTAGATTGATTTATTTACGACTGACAACACGTTTAGTGAACTGGTGTTCTCTTCAGAAATAAGTTTACCGGGCAAAAGAATTTTGTGACCGAACAGGAACCGATACCGGGAACACGTCGAGTCGATCACGCAACATCGAAACAATCGGCCAGACTATTACGTTATCGTAGATCATTTTCGGGTCAGAGAGAAAGAGAGAAAAAGGTGAGAAAGAAAGAACGAGAGAGAAAGAGAAAGAGAGAGAAGAAGAGAGAGAGAGAGAGAGAAAGGAAAAAGGCGATGACCAAGG